ACACACACACACACACACACACACACACACACACACACACACACACACACACACACACACAGGTCTCTAAATTCCTGCATACGGAGTATAAGACGTAATATTTTATATTAAAATAAATAATTTTTTCCTTTAGCAAGATTCCGATAAATAATTTTTGCTCTTATTTGTTAACTTCAATCTGCTCTTCTGCTTAATAAAAATTACTTATCGGACTTTGCTAAAGGAAAAAGTTGTTTGTTTTAGCATAAAGTATCACGTCTTATAGTCCGTATGCAGGAAGTTAGACATCCTGTGGATATGTGTGTGTGTGTGTGTGTGTGTGTGTGTGTGTGTGTGTGTGTGTGTATACATATATTTTTATGTATAAGTGATAAATAAATTTTAATGAATTTTAAACTTCTAATTGCTATTAACTTTTATCTATATTCTTTATCTATATTCTGACTTTCAAAATTTATCTCTTCGTTTAGATCCATCTTTCTATCATTCTATATTTTTATACATTATACTCATTCATATATTGTTATAGGGAATTTTTCCTTGGCATTAATTTTTTTCTTCACCAACATCATTGGTTACACCTTATCTCTTCTCTTTGCTAGCACGCACTTGTCTCCCATACACACCGAACGCATCACATATATACACTCTATCTTACGCGACGTGTCACAAGCCGCCGGGTTGTCGTATTTTCGACGAGACGTGGAATTCGGCCTTGACAGGTAGATAAGACGAGATGACGAGAAAGAAAGCCACACCGCGTACAGTCGCATGGCTCTCTTTTCCGAGACGGGACTCGCCCATCCTCCCGGCGTCATCGCCACTGTGAATTTTCCCCCCTCGGCACTTTTTCTCGTGAATCGATACCGCCGTCGTCGCTGCTGCTAAACCGGTCCACTTTAGAACGCATAGTAGCGCCGATCTGGATACTCCAGAGTTGATGCTGAGCAGAGGGATATCTTTGAAGCCGCGTGAGAGAAAATCCTCCCTGCGATCCATGGTACTAATACGATCGCATAGCAGCGGCATGCATGCGGCTCGTGTAGGAGCGTATGCATGAGTCGGATGTTCGTTACATATGATACAAACATTTGCCTTTAATTGGCTGACGTTATAACGCATCGATCCAATTAGAAGCTGGCTGGAATAAATCGTTTAATCGGTGACAGAGATTTACATTCTTCTTATATATCGGAGGTGTCAGGCTCAGGCTTGCATAATCTTCCTTCCTGCTGTGGCAATTATCACGGATTGAACGCAGTTGAATGTAGAGTATCGTCTAGTGTCGACTGATCACGATATGGCAAATTATATTGTTATTTTACGATTAATACGTTTCGAGCCGACGAACGTCAGCATTAAATAAATGATTAAATAAATTGGTTTCTACATTATTAAAGAATTACATCGTAAATATTTTGATTAAAATGACAGGGAAAGTTGGAAGTTATTTGCGTATAGATACCGTTCTTATTCTAAATCGGACAATGCAAACGACGAGTATATGCCTTTGAGAGTCGCCGTGAGAAAATCGTGATCATTCGCGATATGACTTTCAGTTTTCCCAAGTGGATCTTCTCCACAGTGAAAGTTCGCACAATCATCGGACCTATCCGTAGAAAGTACTTCCGCTGATATCTCGTTCGTAGGCCGCCTACAATATTTGGAGATTAGTTACAATAATTCTTCGATACTCTTTAGAAATCCAAAATAATACTGGCCCATTCAATACTGAAAGATAATGGTTAATTGTCTACTTTGAGTATTACTGTTGTTCAGTGTTCAATAAGTAATTAATCATCATCTTCTGGCATTAAATTTCTGTAAGAGAAAAAATTCTCATGTTATGTTTTAAAAATGCAAAATGAATACAAAAATATTTCAAGTATATAAAAAGTCATTAAGAAGATTGCTATTGACTTCAACTAATTGATCAATTCGGTTACTTTCTTAATAAATATTTATTTAATAACTATCTTTTCATATTTAATGATATTAATACAGAGCATACAAATAACATTTTCAGTATTTAGTGTAATATCTTTTTTTAAAAAATAATACTTAATTATTTAAAAAAATTTTTTTTTAATTAGTAATAGATATGAGAATCTTTTTCTATCTTCTTCGAAGAACGTTTAAAACGTTTAGAATGTTACACCTTTTTATTATGATAAAAATACACATTGCACTATCCCATAATTCCGAGAATATTATCATTGTATAAACGAGTGATGACACCACGCCCACAATTTACCATTGACGCAACTCGGTAAACGCTACACGATGTTTCAAAAGCGCTAATGCGCAACGCGAATTCGCATGTGGTTTCTTTAACGATTATCGACTGTCGGACAAAAGTTCAAGGCGTCCTACGCTTAAATCGTCGACGAACTTCCTCCACGGCAGACCCGGAAGACGGTCGAATACAAGCTTTACATGTAACCGTTTATCCACGTCGCAACGTAGTCGTCAGTCGACCCGATATTTGCGGCGAATAGAATATGAAGAAGCCGCCGGGATAATACGGCTGAGTACAGTGGCCCTGATGAGTCGTTCTTCCTTTTAGCGATAGACACAACACGAGAACTAACGTTTGAGAAAACATGCACTCAATCATACTTGAATGAGCGACAATTAAAGTTAGCTCACGTTCGCTTATGGGACTGTTCTGTCTTCGCGTGATTGTTTAGATTACACCGGCGGAACTGACTCTGCAATGAGTCTAACAATTTTGTGGCTACGCAAAACTGTTGCATTGAAATCGATTAGCGTTAACTACGCGTTTAACTATAAATACAAATTTTAGTTAATTACATTTAAATTTTTCTTCTGTTTCTGTATATCGACAATAATGTTACGTAACTATAATCTAACAATAAGAGAGTTGAGAGACAGCAAATCATTAGCCGAAGTTAGTTAAACACTATAAGAAAGAGATTCACACTTATTATTTCTGACGAAGTAATGAACAGGTTTCTTGATGCGATCATCATCTCGCGATAGACATACGTTGTAGTTTAATCGCACTTTGGAAAAGGAGCAGAAAGATATCCGAGCTCGATCTCTTGCCCGTGCGTTCTCATCATCACCGATGTGAACATGAAGGAAACACCTAATGATCCGCGAAGTTGACCATCGGTACGCGACCGCATATCACCAGCTGGCCAGTAAAAACAAGATGAGAACGGGAGAAACACATTATGGGGAACGAGTGCACGAGCATGCACATCGATATCGGCGTTCTCTGTCCGAATTAATCATCGGCATATATCGGCATAGTCCTTCCGCCGAACGCTAATGCGGTCAGTTAATCAAACGCGTGCGGAATGATAATTATCTGTATTTGGTCTCAGATCTCCAAGGAAAAGTGACAGACCAATGGCGTAGTATCCAGATATACAAAAGCTGCCTTCCTTCTTTTTACTTTTTAGAGTTCAATAATTATATCTTCAGAGAGAAACAAATACATGGATCTTATATGAAGACTTTTTTGTGAATACAAATCAACAACGAGATGTACTTACACTAAAGAAAGAGATCGAGCTATTTATGCACTACATAGTTGTGGACTCGAGACAGTTGTTTCTGTATTCGTTGTTAAAATATCCGAACAAATAGTGTCGTACAACATGGTGTCGTTGATCAGGATTCATGTGTTGATAAAGTTTCTTGCAAATAAAAATATTGTAAAGAGCCGTCGAAATTTTATGTAAACTGCGTGCACAGTTCGGAGAAGAGCCGCTATCGATGATGCAAATGCGCAGCGGTATTCGATACTGTCGAATACTGTTGATTAGTCTCTGTCTTTTTTTAGAGTTGGAATGTAATGTTTTTTTTTTGTAACGTCGGAATTCATTTGAATATGCTTGTTATTTCCGCCCGCATGCATAATAACAATTTCTTATCAGCGGCACGTGTCTGAAAAAAAAATATATTCATGTCTTGTAAAATAATTATCGTTGTTGTTATAAAAGAACATAATTGGCTATACAAATGGCAAAACAGACGTGTACTATTATTCATTGTCAATTTTTAACAAATTGATCGTTATTCACCGATAGATATTTACCGATAGATAGTATAAATATTACTACGCTGTCATGCGATGAAATATTTACAGTGCAAACAGTAGCAGCGCCAGATTGCAATATGAGAATATCAGTGGTGTTCTTGGTCTTGATGATAATAATGTGTGCAATGTTCCAAGGATCTGTAAGTCTTAATTTAAATATAATTGTTTATCGATAAATTTCTGAAAAATAACGAAGTTGTACTCTGTGCGAAGGAATCTCTTCCTTGTGGAAGAAATAGACGTAGACGAATCACAACAACAACAACAACAACAACAACAGCAGCAACATCATAGGTTTTGGCCCATGCACAATATATCTGGAATAAATTGAACCTTATGTCTGTTTAATTATAGAATAGCAAAGTTGTGTCTCACATAGCTGTTGTCTAGTTTTTTAGTCTAGTTATTTTATCGGTAATGTAGCGTTCACTTCATTCTAATAGCAAAAAATTAGCTAAAGGTAGAGATAAAAAATGAAATTAATAGTAGTCCACTCTAGACTCTGGACACAGTGAGTGCAAATAAAAAAAGCAAATAAAAAATAAAATAAAACATTTATCTTTTTATTATCATTTTCTTTCTGTCAAATCTCTAGACAATTATTTAAATTCAGAATTCTAAATCAAGGATATCGAACTTCTAAATAGTTTTTATTAATTAGATTTTCTATATACTTGTTGTTTTATTCTTCTTAAGAAATTTTCAAGAATATTCTTAAGAGATGAATGGGTCAATATTTTCTGTTCCTAAAAATCGTCTGCTCTACTTGATGCACAATTTGAATTGTATTTGGAAAATTATTTTATATCTGGTAAGACTTAAACTTGAAACTCGTGATTTTTGACGCGGCGTTCGTTCTACGCAAAGTTACGCGACGATTGCATTGCGATAAGCAGAGGCGAAAATATAACAATATTCACCGATTATGACATGTATCTCTCATAATCACAACGATTGTCACATTGCTACATACATATAGATATAATACGCAGAGTTTTTAATTATCATGTTTTTTTCTATTACACCCGAATTCGTTTGAATATGCTTGTCGGGCGTCACTTTGTCACTTTCGCCTCTATCATGATAACAACTTCTTATTAGCGTCTGAAAGAATACGGAATATATTCATGTCTTGTAAAATATTTAACATATTATATTGTTGTAAAAGAAGATAATTGATAATAGGTTACATAAATGACAAAACAGGTATGTGCTATTTATCATTATTAATCCTTAATAAATAGATTATTATTAGGTATAAATATTACTAGCAGTATAAATATTACTACTATGATGTGACGCGATATAAACGTTCAGATCAAGCAATAGTAACGCTAGATTGCAATATGAGAATATCAGTGGTGTTCTTGATAATAATAATGTGTGCCATGTTTCAAGGATCCGTAAGTTTTAATTTGAACATGATCATTTATTGATAAATTTCTGAAGAATAACGAAGTTCTATCATGCAAAGGGTTTCCTTCCTTGTTGTTGGACGCAATAGAGAACGTAGCAGGACGAATAACAAAAACAAATAGCAAGAACAACAACAACAACGCAATCATCAGAAAATGACTTGGGAGAGAGGATTGATGTTATTCCATAACCAGAGATAAATTGAACCTTATACTTATTTAGTCATAGAAATGTTGTGTCACAGAAATGGAAATATTGTGTCTCACATAGCTGTTGTTTAGTTTTTCTTTTAGTCAATTAGTGAATCGATAATATAACGCTCACTTCTAGTAATTACATAAAAAAATTAGCTGAAGGTAGAGATAAAAAATTAAATGAGTAGTAGTCTAGATATTCTATCCTAAACTAGACACAGCCAGTACAAATAAATAATACAATAAAAAATAAAACAAAACATTTATTTTTTTACTGTCATTTTATTTTTCTATCAAATCCCTAGATAGTTTTTTAAACTCATGATTCTGTATCAGGGATATCTAATCTCTTGATAGTTTTTAATAATCAAACTTTCTATGTACTTATTATCTCTTTTTATTCTTTTTAAGAAATGAATGGATCAATATTATCTATTCTTAAAAATTTTATGCATTACTTAATTACAGTACCAATTTAAATTGTATTTGAAAAATTATTTTATATTTGGTAGGACTTGAATCTGAAACTCTTGACTTTTGAGTTGGTCATCTCACATATTGCACCACGAAGTTGTCCGCGCGGATACGCCATTCGTTCCACGCATTGATGTTACCCGCGCTATTCGTTTTATACGCATCGAAGTCATGACGATTGCATCGCGATAAGCAGAGGCGAAGTATAATTCGTCAATTATGACGTCACGTATCTCTCACAGTCACAACGATTGTCACTTTGCTATATACATATGTAGAATTTTAATTATCATGTTTTTTTTTCTATTATATCGGAATTTGTTTGAATGTACTTGTCAGACGTCACTTTCGCCTGCATACGTGATAACAACCTTTTATCAGCGACACGTGCTTAGAAGAATGCGGAATATATCCATGTATTGTAAAATAATTATTTTTGTTATAAAAGAACATAATTGATAATAGGCTATACAGATGACAAAACAGGTGTGTGCCATTTTATCATTGTCATCAATCCTCAACAAATAGAACATTATTCGGCGCAGTATAAATATTATTACTATGATGTGATATAAATGTTCAGATCAAGCAGTAGCGCAAGATTGCAATGAGAATATCAGTGGTTCCTAGTTTTGATGATAGTGCAATGTTCCAGGGATCTATAAGTTTTAATTTAAATATGATCGTTTATCGATAAATTTCTAAAAAATAACGAAATTCTATTCTGTAGAAGAAATCCTGTTGATTTCGACATTATAGAAACGGATATCATTGTAGAATCACAACAACAACATCATCATCTACAACGTAGCCATCAGAGTTTATCGAGCCACTACGTAGCGACGTACTAACCAGAGATAAATTAAACCCTATCAGGTCATGAAATAGAAAAGTTGTATGTTACAGAACTGTTGTCTAGTTTTTTAGTCAATTGTTAATTGGTAATGTAACGCTTCTCTCTTCTCCTAGTAGTTATACACAAAATTAGCTAAAGGTAGAGATAAAAAATTAAATTAGTAGTAGTCTACCCTAGATTAGACACAGCGAATGCAAATAAATAGCAAATAAAAAAAAAATAAAACATTAATTTTTTTTGTCATTTTTCTTCTCCATCTAATCCCAAGACAGTTTTACAATTGAGCATTTTCTATTAGGAGTATCTAACCTCTAGATAGTTTTATTAATTAAAATTTCTATACCTTTATTACCTATTTTCATTGTATTCTTCTTAAGACACGAATGGATATTTTTTATTCTTAAAAATCTTGTGTGTACTAGGATATAATTATTCATTATATTATTTTAAAATTAATATATTAAGTCTGCAAATAAGTTTTGATCCTTTTTTTTTTACAGAAAATTGATATTTATTTATAAAAAACCAAAGCACATGTCAGTCTTGAAAATAATCTTCAGCACTTTCGATATACTTTTGCCATCTCTTGAGCAGCTGGCGAATCCCTGCTTGGAAGAACGATGATGATTTTGGTTCAATAAATTCCGTTATAGAATTTTCGATTTCTTTGAGTGTTTGAAAGTGCATATTAACGAGATGGTGCTGTAGAAAACGAAAGAGAAATCTGTAGGAGCCATATTTGGACAATCAGCCGCATGATGGAGAATTTCCAGCCCAAAGAATAGATTAATTCTTTGGTTGCTATCATTGAATGAGCCGTGCGTTATCGTGCAGCAGTATCACCTGATGAGTTTCTTGGCCGGTATAGGATCGTTTTCGTTCGATTTCGTCACTTAAACGCATCAATTGTTATTGATAACGCTCAGACGTTACAGTTTTTTTCGGTTTTAGCAACTCAAAATATAGTACACTTTTCACATCTCACCAAATGCAACAATACTTTTTTGAATGAATATTTCGTTTTGCAACTGGCGTTGACGATTCTCCAGGATAAACTCATGATTTTTTTCTTTCAGGGTTCTCGTAGAATCCACTTCTCACCAGTTACGATGTTAAATCAACCGACAGAAAATTCTTCTGCTTAAATCTTAACAACAGGCAAATTGCTATATCGTTTCATTTTGTTTTTTGGATTGAGCACGTGGAACTCAACGACCAACCTTCTTTCCAGCTTCTGCAGTCGATCGAAAATCGCTTGTTGTAATACTCAATTGTTCAGCAAGCTCCTTTTGTGTTTGTCAAGAATTTTCTTGCAATAGCTGCAACATTTAATTTTTCGTCTTCAACTTTTTTTGATGCTCCCGAACGATATTGAAAGATCGAAATTATCTGTCCGAAACTTTTTGTACTATTTTTTGTACGTACTTTCAGACACCGCATTTTCTCCTAAAGCGGAACAAATCATTTCTTCCGTTTCGAGAACATTTTTTTTTTAATTGAAAAGCGAACAGAATATAATGCCTCACATAGTTGTCGGACGACATCGTGTTCACTTTTAAGATTTGTGAGATTATGTCGTCTCAAAATTTTCATATGTAGTTTTTTGTTATCATAAAGGTTGATACTACGAATCCTCAAAGCAGTGGGAAAAAGATTTGAATTTATAGTAAAGTTACAGTTGATTAATTCTAAGAGAAGTTATTTGTAGACCTAATATATTACAGTATTTAAAATTATATTTGCGATGGACAATACAAATGAGGAAACGAGAACGTATTAATAAATATATATTATTTCGTTTTTAACATTCAAAATAAAAGATAAAAACATTTTATTATGAAGTTTTGTTCGGAGAAAGTTACACTATTGCTTCAAAACAAATAATCTCTCAGTCTAAAAGTCCCTACTGCTACGAATGTGTGTAAACCACGCATTACGATTTCTACTGTGATTGCTGACCAATTTGCTTACTATTTACTGCTTTATATTTTTGTATCATAGATTTTAATGCGTGATCTACAATGGAAAATAGCAGATTAAGGAATAGACTCAGAAATCGACTGATCAGTTGATTATCCTCATCAATCGACTATGATTGATTGATTTCTACGCCTATTCTTTAATTCATTACTGCTACTGTTGTAGACGAGGCTTAAAAGCCATATTACACAAAAAAACTTAAACAATAAAACGTAAGCAGTAAGGAAATCAACATATCAGATGGCTACTGATAGTTATGTATGGTTTAATTGTCTTGAAAATGATTGGCTAATTCGCTTACTGCTTACATTTTACTTATAAGTTTTTTGTGTGCCATGACTCTAATTTATCGATTATGACACATGTCCATAGTCACGCACGACGATTATCGCGTTCCTACGAATGGTACATAGAATTTCGATTATCAAGTTTTTTCTATTAAAGCAATTTCATGCAGCGAAGGAAAACTAGTTTTTTATCCACACAATCAAAACAACGCAAACAGGACACTCAATACTGTTGAATGTGTTGTAGTCTTTGTTCGTCTGTTTTTAGAATTTTGAATGTCATGTTTTTTTTTGTAATGTTGGAATTTTGTTTGAATATACTTGACGTCATTTTCGCTTGCATGCATGATA